GGCCAGAGGCGCTGTTGGGATGCCCACCGTCGGTGCGTTCTTCGCCGTTGCTGCCCTCACCTACTGCACGGCTGCCATTCCTGGTGTTGACCATCTGGAGGGAGAGCAGACGGAGGGGGTGGAAAAGAAGAAAAACAGATGCTCAGGAACTAAGCTTTATTATATAGGAATTTAAACTGCAATTGTTCTGATCTGAATTAAAACACTTAAAACAGCAAGCAAATCCTTATTAAGATAGCCATATCATAGGCACATGATATCGACCGTCGACTGACCCCCAAGCGAACAGACCTAAACACTCAAACTAATAGACAAATACTAAGCAGTCGGTAAACTAAGGGAAAGCGAGCCTAATGCTCGGAACGGCTCCTGCGGTCGATGGAGTCGAAGGCGTCCTCCTGCTCGTCACCAGGTCCCTCTGAGCGGCTCCTGGAGTCTTGCAGATATGTCTCGCCGCTGCCCGGCTCTGTGCCACTGGAACTGCTGCTGCTGTGGTCGCAGCTGCCACTGGGAGTAGCAGGCAACCAACCTCCATTGCCACCGGCTGGACCCCTGGCGACTGATGCTGGAGCGAAGGAGAGAGCGGACGCGGGAGCTGACACAGGGACGGGAGCCGGGACTGGAGCTGGAGCTACGGGAACTGCTGGAACTGCGGGAGCTGTGGGCGGAACTGGAGGAGCTGCGGGAGCTGCGGGCGGAGGTCGGTTCCTGGGCGCAAGCTGAATGCGCACGGGTGTAGTCGTCGACTTGCGGGGCGTGGTGCGGATCCGGACTCCTCCTAGCGCTGGGAGGCCCTTCAACTGAGCGTTCTCCTTCTTCAGGCGTGCTATCTCATCCTTCAAAGCTATGATCCTCACGAGCTTCCCATCATTCAAGGCCTTGGACATCTTGTGCAGATCCGAGTGCATCCTGTCCATTCCCCTCATCACGGCGCACATGTGACTGAAGGTGGTGTCGTTCTCACCGGCTGTCAGGCGAAAGGTGTTGACATCGTCACCACTTGCTCGGCGAGGGTGGAAATAGTACGCCGTGTTGCAGAAGATGTAGTTGTGGCGCCCACGAAGTCTGGCCATCATCCGATATGCTGCCTCTTGACAGGCGTGATCTGCGGTGCCTCCAGATGCTTCAACCACCATGTTAGCGAGGCAGGTGCCCACATAGCCATGAACCTCCAGACGAACACGGTGAGGAAACTCGCCACTGAGCGGCGGAACAGTCGAGTACTCTGGCGTGTTGGGGTAGCCCACCACTAGGGTCATGTGAGCCAACTCTGCCACAAAGTCGTCCACGCCTTCTCCGCGGTGGTTGGGTGGGTGGTCGGCCATCTAGAGAAGACAAAGGGGTAGGATCAATGCATGCTCAAATCCAATTTAAATAAAGCTGTAAAGGACTCAAATAAAATAAGCGAGTAAGAGCGGAATTTTATGCATAGATCATTTTGCATGAGAGCGAATAAATAAGACAGACTTACATAGCGATCAAATAATGAGAAATTATATACTTACTAATAATAACAATAAGAGCATAAATACCTAGCAACCCATATTCCTGAGTTAGGACCTAATGCATTCTTCCCATCAAATCCCGACTGACTGTCAAATAAATCTCAAATAATTTTACTAAAACCCTAGACTGACTTGATTTGACAAATCTCACTTAAACTAGCGACCAAGATTTTTCCCTTGAACCACAAGAATAGATCCTAATTTTCCTGGAACAAATCCAATTGCAAAGAATATATGCAATGAAAAGGATTCAGAGGGCTCTTAGGTTTTTCCATTTGGCTTGTCCTACGGTCAAGGTCGGCTCTGATACCAACTTGTCACGCCCAGAAATTCCCGAATAGAATTCCAAGCAGAATGTGCATTAGAATCCCCATCCAGGACCGGCCGGGATACACAAACGATAAAGTTGACATACAGATCCATGTCTTACAAACATTATAAAAGTCTTACATAAATGCAGCGGAAAATTAAAAGGCAATTGGAGCTAAGCCTCGACTTGGACTGCAGCGGGAACACCACTCCACAGGCATCCTCGACGGCACGGACGGAGCCTACTCCTCGGAGAAACAACTATCTGACGCATACTCAAACTCTGGGGTTTGGGGAAAATAGAGCAAGACTGAGTACAATCACCGTACTCAGCAAGTCATACCGGAGTAGGGGTATGATGTAGGGAATTATCAAAGGATAGCTATAGAGGTTCTTTTGCATAAAGCGAGCATTTATAAACAGTAGTTGAAAGCAGAAAAACAGTTGTAGTAATTAATCAATATTAACCATCCACTGTCCAACGCTACACCACGTTGCAACAGGCCCAACCATCCACCTAGACTATTCAATTCCATTATACTAGACTAGGGTGAGACTAATCACGGTGAATCTGGTTGACCGCCTAGAACCGCGGGCACGACTATTCGAATAGTTTTACTCTGATCAGAGGTGTACAACTGTATCCACAAGACACAGCCCCACGACACGTTTCCGTGCGCCGACATGCCACCATGACATACCGAATAGAGGCCGTGACAGGACCCTTCGCATAACCCCCTCTAACCAAGCACACCACACCTCAGGTTTCACCCCCACTCCTCGCAAGGCAGCGGGCAGTCCCCTCTCGTGCCTAGGTGAATCCGGAAGCCGCATAGGCCGTCGCAGGGCCCATCCAAACTTCATCACGCCCACCCTTGCCTGAATGCGTCAGCTAGAGGAAAGCTACACTACAAGCCCAGCCGTTGCCCACGCTGGATTGTGGTAAGTACGATAAGTTCTTCCACGGCATCCCGCGAACCGGTCCTTAAATGCCATGGGCGCGACCAGCAAAACCATGCACCCACAGCCCACCATATGATTTATTTTAATTAAGCAACACCAGGACGGTGGCACTAATCCAACATTAACACTAGAACCTACAGTCTATACATTAATATGATTTCCCCCATTGTGTGCTAGTTGAACTAAGCATGGCTAAGCAATCCCTGGTCCAACATCTAGTCATGTCACGTCCCAAGCTAACAAAGGAGCATGGTATAAGAATAGCATGGCTATAACAGTAGGTAAACATTACATAGTATTATTGCAAAACAATGCAGTATTTGAAGGAAAACAATAGACCATTTGCAATATAGGATCAACATGTTCAAGTGACAAGCATGACTTGCCTTGCTCTGCTGCTGGAGGAACCTCGGCGACTATTTCAAAGTACACCGGAGCGTCGGGAGAGCCGGAATCTAAGCGACATACAAAGCAAACAATACAAACAGGCTATAAGACTACTGAAACAGAGAACAAAACCATTTTTAATGGATTCTACACATTTTTCTTGATTTACTGAGACTTGAATGGGCTTAAACGGAGCTCGGATGAATTAGATATGAATTTTCGAAGATTCACTGCGTTTTTACTATAAACAGAAAAATCGTTAATTGAATTATTGCGCAATAAATAAATCCCGGGAGAGAGAGAGGGGTGGCGCCGACATGCGGGCCCCACATGGCAGTGACTCGGGGAGGGCGGTTCACGGTGGACGGAGTCCACGGACCGGGTAAGGGGCGGCGCACCACGTGGCGCTGACGTGGCGCCGACGCGGCAGCCACGCGGGCGGCCGAACGGACGGCCCCGATCTACCGCCCGGTAGATCGGACGGCGGATGCGGCTCGCGGCCGGCGCGCGCGGGCACGGCTCAAGCCGGCCCGGCGGCCATGGCGCGCGGCGGCGCGGCGCGCACACAGCGGCGACCGGCCCGCGGCGGAAGACGACGGCGTCGCGGCGACGCGGGTGGCGATAGCGGTGGCTAAGCGGTTAGGCGGCGGCGCGGCGGCTAAGCGGCGCGGGAGAGAGGGAGAAAGGGGAGGAGGGGCCTCACCGGCGACGATCGGCGACGGCGAGCGACGGAGGGCGACGGCGATGGCGGGACGAGCTCTGGAACCACCTAGCGAACAAGATGAGAGGGATTAAAGGGAGAGAGGAAAATGGGAGAGGGCGAGGACGCCGGCCAAAGGCGGCGGCCATGGCGGTGCTCACCGGCGCACGGCATGGAGTGGATTCCGGTAGTGGATTCCGACGGAGGAGGGGTGGACGGGACGGCCCGCACAACGGCGAACGCAACGGCGCGGCTCAGCACGGCGGCTAGCGGCGACCGGAGCGGCGATGGCGGCGGCGGAGAGGAGGGCGACGGCGCTAGGGCGATAGAGGGCACGGGGAAGCTTGGCAAAATGGGGAAAAAGAGAGAGGGGAGAGTGGGGATGCTTAAATAGGGGAAAGGGAGCTCGGATGTGGCCGGGAGAGGCGGGAATGGCCGGCCGACGTGGGGGAAGTGGGAGAGGAGAGAGAGGCGGGATTCGAAAATCGAATCCCGTCGTCTCGAGCGCGGGCGCGGGCGGGAGAGAGAGGGAGTGGGCGCGGGAGACGCGGGCGCACGCGCGGGCGTGGCCGACGTGGCCCGGAGGAGGCGGGAGCGTGGGCGCGGCGGCGGTTGCGGAGCGCGGTGGCGGCGGCTAGAGGTTGGGGGAGGACCCGACAGGTGGGCCCCACCTGTCGGCGACCCCGGGAGAGGAAGTCGGGCGACCGGTTCTGTCGGCCGGCCCAGCGGGAAAAAGGAGGGAAGGAGAGAATGGGCCGGCGGCCCATCCCAAAAAGAAAAAGGAAGGGAAAAAAGAAAGAAAAAGGAGGAAAAGAATTTCCAGGGAATTAAAAATTGCTTGTGCTCATTTTTAATTGGTTAAAATTATTTCTTAGAGCTCTGAAATTTCACTAAAAATCTTGTTAGCGTATTTCGACATGTAAAACTCAAGAAAAATTCCACATGCTAATTCCGATTATTATTTACATTAATTCCTTTAGGGTTTCACTCTTGTTCCTTTAGGGTTTCACTCTTGCTTTTACACCGGTATTTTCTTAGGACCATTTATAAATTCAATTTAGGCTTGAGAGAAGAACTTCAGGGTGTGACAGCCATGCACACTCAAAAAGCCCATATATCAAACAGAATTAGCCCAATTAAAATCTAAATCTGACATCTTATAGCCCAATTAACAAAATTCAGCTCACATTTAATACATAATCACAAAACAGGCTATCATAAATTCAGAAAAAAAAAAGATCACAGGTTATCCGTAAATCAGTTACATGACAAGTCAGCTAATTACATCCACAAATCACTATCCAAAGCATGTTCAATTACATCACAGGTTCACTGACCAGATATAATACATCACTAGTACAAGTCACTGACCACCAAATCCAGCCAAATGCCAAATAGCCGTTCACACATTGACCTAAGCAAAGTCATATCCAAATCACACGAATCAAAAGATCTTGAATTAGCAAGGTAACATTAAGAGAATAGACAAAAACCTTATTGAGGCTGACCTGAGTGTTGCGGCCAATCAAACGACAAAAGGGCATATGCTTCCTTGTTGCTTCCGATTCATCTATCCATAGCAAAAGAGGTGTTACTTAGGCACAACAAAATCCTGATGTTATATATAGAATTAAGCTTTGATTATGTGTAAATTAAGCAAGCAAAATGTGAGATTGTCTAATGCCAGTTGATGTGCATGAATACTACCATAAATCCAAGATTTTCCTTCAGCTATCACGTTTTATTTTGCTGCTGCAAAACTCTAAATCAGCTACCGAAGCTAGCCATTTCATCATAAAAAAACAAGCTCGCTGCGCCATTGGCTGCGTAACTACAGAACTGAAGAGGTACAATTTCATGTATTACACAAACACATACATCTCATAAGTGCCCTTGCCTTAATTAGCATGATAACTTCAAAGAGAGAAGCAATAGCAGCTCCATTTAGTAATAACCCAATTATGTGGGACTTTTTGAAACTTCCTGAAGGTTCCTTTGATGCATGACAACCCAAAATCATCAAGAATGAGGGTCCTACTGAATTTATGTCACCTTAAGCAATTCTATGACATGATGGTCTAAATTTTAACAATTGGAAGCTCTACATGTACAATTGCAGACACACCAATAATCATTCAGATCAGGATACAATTGTAAGCTCTACATGTACAATTACTTTCCATGAAATGAACTAATATTCTAGCCACCTATGCATTTGTAATGCTTAGCATATCCAACTCTGTAAGCAAAGCTACTACTTCTACAGTTGTACTGCTTGGTTCGACACCATCAGAAATAGGACTAATCAACATGGCAATAATTCCCAACTACACGTTTCATCCCAGATTTGATTGAAGGGTTATTGCAGTTATCTGCTACATGGGAATCACTGACATTCATTGTATCAGTACTTACCAAATTATACAGTTCTTTATATAACATCGAGACTGTCTAGATGTAGGAATTCATGATACTCAATCTTCAAGAATGATTTTCCTCCTACAGAACAGCTTTTATAATCTGCACATAGCATTTACAAATATTTTGGGATAATGAATAATTCATGTACCATATAAGAAAAGGAAAGATATTGTGCAGAATTAGCCTTTTCGTACGTGTTTAAATCAGCGCATTACATGCTGCATTTGGCCTTCATGTACTCCCGGCTGCTGCCCGGAGAGGTGGCGGCGGTAGTAGGTGTCCATGCCACAGCCGCGTGCCTCCGCTGCGTCGCCATGGTGGTGATGCTACACTGGGGAAGCGGTGAGGGGGGACGAGACCCTGCGCCCTGACGAAGTCAAAACACTCCTGCAGCCTCCGCCTCTCGAACTTGGCAAACCGCAGCTCCGCGCCTCCGCCACCGCAGCTCGCCGTGTACACCAGCTTTATCAGAGTCCCTGCGAACAAAAAGAAAAAAAACCCACGAGTCCATCCCTCCACCACGACCGAACTACTTCGCGCGTGAGAGAGCGAGGAAAACCCGCGAGCCGATGTCGAGCGCGAGGAGCAGGGGCGCGGCGGGCTGGCGCGGGAGGTACACGGGCGGGAGGGGAGCCGCCGCCGCCTCCACCGGATCTGGGAGGAGGGAGGGGAGCCGCCACCGCCGCCGCCTCCACCTTCCGCGCAGGAACCGCCTGGAGCCGCCGCCGCCACCGCCCTCCGGCAGCTGCTCCGGCCGGAATCCGCGCCGAGAGAGGAGAGGTGAGAGGGGAGGTGAGGGAATGGGAGGGATACCTGCCCCGGCTCAGACGCCGCCGTGAAGAGGCGGAGACGGATGCCGGCGCTGTCGGCGGCAGATCCGCCGCTCCCGAGCCTGGCAGCGGCAGAGACGGAGGCGGCGCGGTAAGCGGTGAGGGGGGGAGTAAGCCGGAGAGGAGAGGAGAGGAGAGGAGAGGAGAGTAGAGGAGAATGGATGGTAGTGTGGCGGCTGAGGGTGGAGAGAGAGAGAGGGGGGAGGGGTGGAGAGGAGGGTTTTATATGGGGCTAAGGTTAGGGATGGCGATGAGAACTATTAGATCGGAGATGGACGGTCAGAAATAGTTGGGCCATTTGGGCCTAAACATGAATGATCTTATGGTATTTTTAATTTTAATTTATGAACAACATCAAATTTAATTTTAGGCTGCTTTTTATGTTTCAAATGCAAAAATCACAAACAACAAAATTTTAGAACTCATCGAGATCTACAACTATTGTATTGGTCTTTTTTACAAATAAGTTCATTTGAACAATTCAAATTTTGAATTTTTAGAATTTGACAACTTCGAACAAAAATTGGGGTTAATAAATGATTTCAAATGGAAAAGTCACCTAAATTAAAGTTGTAGAACTCATCAAGAACCAAAATTTCTATTTTGGTAATTCCTCAATCTAACTCTATTTAAACAATTTGAAATTTGAAATTCAAAGTTTGAGAACTTCAAATAGAAAATTTTATTAGTGAACGACTTCAACTGAAAAAAGTCATCAACAACAAAGTTGTATAATCCATCTAGATCTACAATTCTTATTTTGGTCATTTGTTCATCTGATAAAGTATTTTTTAACATTGTTCATAAATTTTACAAATCTTCCATATGGTTTCATAAATTATAAGAGAGGTGTGTAAATTTTGTGAACAATGTTACTATCACTTTATCGGATGAATAAATGACCAAAATAAAAGTTATAGTTATTAATGAGTTATACAACTTTGTTGTTGATGACTTTTTCAGTTGAGGTTGTTTAGTATTTGAAAATGTTGTTTAAAGTTGTCATAATTTGAAATTCAAATTCAAATTATCGAAACAAAGTCATATAGCAAAATGACAAAAATAAAACTTATAGATATTGATGAGTTATACAACTTTGTTGTTGATGACTTTTTCAATTGAAATCATTTAGTATTTGAAAGTGATGTTTGAAGTTGTCATAATTTGAAATTCAAATTCAAATTATTGAAACAAAGTCATATAGAAAAATGACCAAAAAAAAGTTGTAGATCTTGATAAGTTATACAATTATTATTGACAATTTTTTCATTTGAAATCTTTGCTACCTGAAAAGTTATTTGAATTTAGAGGAGGGAGGTAAAATGGACTTTTCGGCGAGGGGTAGCAAAAAGGCTGGGCCGGCGGCCCGAAGAGGGAGGAAGAGGGAGAGATAGGCTGCGGGCTGAGGGAGGGATAGAGTAATACTTGGGCTGAAAAAGGCCCAAGTACATAGAGAGGAATTTTAATTTGTTTTCTATTTATTTTAATAGGTTAAATAAGTTTTGTGGTATTAAAATTAGTTATTGAGCTCTGAAAATTCACGAAAAATTTAAAATAATAATTTAGACCACGTAAAATATTACAAAAAATATTTCCGTCCATGATTTTTAAAGGAAAATTTTAGTTTCCTCATTAATTCACTTGATTAAATTGCGTTAACTTTTAATACTCCATCCATCCCATAATGTAAGGTGTGCACATATTTCAAGATTCAACTTTTAAACATTTGGCCAACACTTAGTATAATATAAAATATTTTATTTGTTAAAAATTATATCATTAGATTGATATTTAAATTTACTTTCATATGATTATAGTTTTGTTGCTATAAATCTTATAGTATATGAGAAATTATAAGCTAAATATTAGTTTTGGAGACCGTGCCAGCTTTTACCGCGCCTTATATTATGGGATAGAGGGAGTATATTTTTTTCAAGAAATGCATTATATATATCTATGACAAATTAATATTCGTCACAATGTCCCATTGAAATACTTTATGACGATTTCTAGTTGGTGTTAATGACGAACACATTTTTTTCGTCACTAAGCCATCCTCATCTCATACTAATCGTCATAAAATGGAATGTGCTAATGACGAAGAGCTCCGATGTCACGAGGAATTCGTCACAGAAGATCATATTTCTTGTAGTGATGGCAAGGCATGCAATGGGGTAATTGAGGAATTGAATCGTGAGTACTGCTAGCTCCATGTATATGTAATTCGCTTTCCAGTTAGCAGCACCAAATTTTGGTCTCCTGCTGTCCTATTTAGCAGCACTACTGATTGTACTTTAGTTCCTAATGAGAGTGCACACTAATTTTGTTGAGGAAAACAATTGCAGTTCCAACTATAATCAGCTGATTATTTGTGTTTATTGTGTTGAGTGCATTACGAAACAAATTGATTTCATTTGATCTGAATAGTTTTTAAAGCATATCGAACAAAAAAAAACTACAAAACTGCTTTGATTGTTTGAGATTAGGCTATAATATTACTTCATAATGGAGCTTTTCCTGACACTTTGACTATCATCTTCCGGTGTAGACAAAAAAAACCTTCTGTCGACTAGAGTTTGATGTCGATTTATCCACACTTCTATGACTTTTAGAGGAAATGTGCTGCTTCAGTTCATCACAAATTATATGTGTTTGGAAGACTTAAATTCAGAATGATGCGGTGCCCTAATAATTTTCTACATTTTCTCTCAGGATTGACCTTTCAATTGCATCTTAGACTTTTGCATGGTCTACAACCGGTAATAATCTTCTGGTAATATCTACATTTCAGGTGACCAGAGACCATAACATATGCAAGGCATAGACTTTTGTATACTTTGGCATGCTGTAGACTTTGGCTGGTTCTGAAACATATAGTCATGAGGTAACCTATCTGATTATTAAGTTTTAATATTTTCAATTGGTGATTTACGGTGTTGTCGTTGTCCACATGCCTCCGCAGACGAAAATTGTGCCTCGCCCGAGCCCCACTCTTTGTTAATCACCACCACAGTCCCCTCGGCGCCAAGACGGACACCACCTGCTAGTCCATAGGTTGCTGGTGGATCCAGTCCGCCGGTCATAGAACCCAAACCTTGGACTAACGCGGATAACCTTTTTTTAGGAAAACTATCAGACATTTGTCCACAGTATAATTTTATGAAAGTGAATCAAAATGTTATTTACAAGACAAAAGAAGAAACACAAATAACCTTTATTGGGGCTTGAGAATTTTTTTCCCCGAGATATTGGATAACCATTGCGTGGGCTTGAGAATTCTTTCACCGGGCATATTGTTTTGGTAGGTACATCTGTTAGGATGTTGCCGTTTTCATCGAAAGCACTCTTAATGCTGTGCTTTGTGAGGGCATATAATAACAGGTGAATCTTCCCCTTATAGATGTTTTTGAGGAGCTGAATACATTTCACAAGGGGCTTTCATCAGAAGATGCTGCAGAATGCTTGCAGCTGTCTGGTGCAAACGGATTGGAGAAGTGTGTAAATTGACTGCCTTTTTCTGATCATCGTTTACGTACATTCCTACAAGACAAAATTGACTGCCTTTTTCTGATCATCGTATAATTTTATGAAAGTGAATCAAAATGTTATTTACAAGACAAAAGAAGAAACACAAATAACCTTTATTGGGGCTTGAGAATTTTTTTCCCCGAGATATTGGATAACCATTGCGTGGGCTTGAGAATTCTTTCACCGGGCATATTGTTTTGGTAGGTACATCTGTTAGGATGTTGCCGTTTTCATCGAAAGCACTCTTAATGCTGTGCTTTGTGAGGGCATATAATAACAGGTGAATCTTCCCCTTATAGATGTTTTTGAGGAGCTGAATACATTTCACAAGGGGCTTTCATCAGAAGATGCTGCAGAATGCTTGCAGCTGTCTGGTGCAAACGGATTGGAGAAGTGTGTAAATTGACTGCCTTTTTCTGATCATCGTTTACGTACATTCCTACTCTGAACTTCTAGTCTTTTTCTTTACTTCATTTTGGAGTAGAAGAAGAGCATCACGTTCCTTAGCTTTATGTGGAACCATTTGTTGAGATTATAAGCATATAATGATTTAATCTATTCCATAAATAAATCATGACATTACAGATGAAAACTAGCATGAACGCATCATTAGATCTACATATATAAACTACACAGTATAACATGAACAGATCAAATATGCGCAACATATTGAACACGTACCGAGGTGGCGGAAAGACCGGCTGCTTGGTCGAAACTTTTCGCAGGCGTCTACGAAGGCATGCAGCACGCGAGCGAAGAGGAAGACGAGCCGTCGCGGACGAACAGGGAGCAGTTGCGCAAAGCGCTTCCCAAAAACCTTATTGCCGCCTTCTCCCGGTGCAGGACGTCGAAGGCAGAGGTTCCGGAGACCTGCTCTCCCGATCGCCGGTGTACGCCGGCGAGCGGGATGGAGTAATCTACGAGCGACGGCGCAGCACAGAGTAGGAAGGCAAACCCTAGATTGATTTCGCGTATATTGCGTGAAGACGGCGGGTTGGTTTATATAGAGAAGGGTCGCTTGATCAGGGCGCCCGCACGATCTCCACTGCGCGTAATCGAATCGGATAAGTCGCGCGTAACTTATCCGGACTCCACGCCGTTTGCACGCACCGGATTTTTCAGAACGTTTCCAAAACAAAAACGAATCCGAATTTGCAGCAAAACAAAACTGCAAAAGGAGGCTGCATCTGCGCAAGGTGAGGAACCTGCCCTGCCAGGCGAGGCGAGGCGAGGCGAGCGAGTGCGCGCGTGTGTTCCCCCCTCTTCTCTCCACCACACATGCTTCAAGTGGCTAGGAGGGCATCCTCCCTTTTAAGGAGGTCCCCCTCTCCTAGAATAAGCAAGGTGGTACTAAACTCCACATGCATGTCATCCCATGAGGTGGGCTTTTGTGATTTTCCAAATAATTAATCTTCGAGTGAGCTAAGGCTCATTCATTAATTCCAACAATCCCCCACCAAATCTCAAAATCCCACTGAGATTTGCCTTTTCCAATGTACTGTTTATATACCAGCGGTTCGATGGAGACCGATTAAGGTTGAACATCCACCTAGAACTCCAAGCTACACTTACTCACAAATTGAACAATGGACTATGCCTTGAATTGCAAGTCTTATGCAAGCAAGTTTCACTCAGAGTCTTATCTGGTACTAGACCGTTTGTAGACTACCCCTCGGGT